CACATACGAAGATGCATCCTTTATATAAACGAAAGTTTAAAATCGAGTTTCTGAACGCAACTTAAAGTGACATTTGGTTGACGATTTAGGTTATCAACCATTCATGGCCAAAGCTCAATAAGTGAAAAAAAAATATCAACCGATATTAATTATCAATATTTGTTATTGTTTGTTTACAAATGTTTGGTTTTTATTCTTGAATTAGCGGAGTGCTAAAAAAGGGTTCCAAGTTTTTTTTTGCAAACGGTACTTTTCAAGCGACATTTGACAGATAGAGGTCATTGGCTTTGCTATTCTTATTTGAATCGCATTGTACCTACATCCAATTTGAATAAAGATATATTGATTTCTGATTTCCGAGTCAGGATTCCTATAATCTTGCGAGCTTTGTCCCTATTTAATCTGGCTAACTTAGTCAAAGTTGCGGGCGACCGCTATTAAGAAATAAACACACTTTCTTGTTTCAGCCAGCCCTACCACCTCACCGGCCGGCTCCGTCCCAACTAAAGTTTAATGATCTATTGATTTGTCATTTATCTCGTGATGCGGGCGAGGATAGTGGTAATTGCTAGCTAGATCTGGTCGACTGGCCGGTGACAATTCCTACCTAGTTTACAGGACTGTTCCTAGAATTCTCACTGAGCTGCTTTTAACTTTCAACTAGTGGTTCTTTCGGGTTCCGTACCTAAAAAGGAAAAAGCGGAACCCCTTTAAGATCAACGACGACCTCCGTGGCCGAGTGGTTTGTACGCCGGGTTTCATGGTGTCGCCGACTCAAGAGGTCACGTATTCGAATCCCGGTGAGGGCAGCTGTTTGTGTGATGAATACGAGCATTTGTACTCCAGTCATGGGTGTTCAATATGTATTTCTATATAAATATACTTATATATGTACTGTATATGTATTCTATCCGTTACCCTAGTATCCCATTACACAAGCTTTACAGTGCTTACTTGGGGCTAGGCTAATTGGTGTGAGTATTGGAAATATTTATTTATTTATTTATCATTTTGTTGTCCGTCTGTCTGTCTGTCTTATCTAAGGAACGCGTATCGAGTTGAAATTTAAAACATATACTCATGTCTACGGCCCTTTCAAGCTGTAATAATAATATTACTACGCTAACGTAAACATTTTTTTTTGTATTTTTATTTTCAGCACTAAATTGTTATATTTTTTTTACTTACATAAAGAAAATATTACTAGAAAAGAAGGCCAATTCGGTTGACATTCTCTAGTGTTCGAAAATGTGTTAAGGAAATATAACTAGAAATTCCACGCGGACCAAGCAGCAGACGGGACTCGAGACTAGCCTTTCTCAACCTGCAAGGCAGCGCCATCTCTTCGCATTGAAGGTAACCCACAAGTCTTAAGAAGGTTTACTTTTTTATGTCAAAAGCAAACAAACAAGCGTATGGCCCGCCTGATGGTAAACGGCCACCATAACACATAGACCCTTACGATACTTAATAGACGAGCTCGATGGCGCGGGTGGTTAGCGCGTTCGGCTGCGATCGTTGAAGTTAAGCAACTTTCGCAGTGGTCGATCATTGGATGGGTGACCAAAAATCTTCTATCTCGAGTTCCTCCGTGCATCGGAGGGCACGTTAAGCCGTTGGTCGCGGCTGCATCTGCAGTCGTTAGCACCCGCCAATCCGCACTACGCCCGCGTGGTGGGTCATGGCCCAATCTCCCTATTCCATCCATAAGCAAGCCTGTGCCCCAGCAGTGGGGACATTAATAGCCTGATGATACGATACTTACCAAAAATATCACTCGCGCCATTGCCTACCATAACCCAATCCTCTACCCCGTGGAGACTTGGCACCTTACTCACCGACAGGAACACAACACCACCAAAAGGTAGTGTTATTTTACTGTGATATTCTGTAAGGTGGAGATTACTTCCCCAGACGGGCGCTTCAATTCGAGCGGAAATCCACCGCCCACCTCTCTTCAGTAAAAAAAAGAAATAAGAATTTCGGTTCGGCCATCAGGGTCGCGGTAGTATAATTGGTCAGTGCATTCACCCGGATAGCGAAGGGTTCGAGTCCCGTCTGCTGCCTGGTCCCCGTGGATTTTTTTCTAGTTATATTTTCTTTAGATTTAAACATCAAGCAGTTACATGCTTAAAAAATAAAAATAAATATTATAAAAAAAGAAATAGTTCAAAAAAGAGTTGCCAAATCTACATTTCCCTCATTAGTAAATTGCACAAGTGTATTAAATAACAAAAATTTTAAGGCAGCCCTACTTCAGAGTTCACTTCAAACGCAATCAGCACAATAATCGATCACAAATATAGCGTCATCTCTTTCCCACGATTAATCAACAAATGGGGCAATAAATAATTAATTTCACGACGTCTACAAGAACCGTACTATCTACCGCTATATAGTGCAAGCCTACGCACAATCAAGCCAGCCCAGGGATGGCGAACCAAAGAGAACTACTGTTTTTTGTCTCACCAGATGGCGCCACTGTTGAGTAAGAAATCAAGTTTACACTTCAATAATATTTTAATACGAATGCCAATGCTTTGTTCGGAAAAAAACGAAGACATGATATTTTTTCTTAGCTCCCATGTTATCACTTGTCTAGACAATAATAGGAACCTACTGTCCAACATTTTATCATTGTAGGTCCAGCCGTTTCGGCTGTGTGTTGATGAGTCAGTCTGTCAGTGTATCCTTTTCTCTCTATATATAATAGTATAGATATAGTGTCGCGCGTGACGCTTGTAGCGTGACGCATTTACGTAACATCTTTTTCATAAGAATTTTTCCGTTTACACCCCGTCCGAAAAGAATTTTCACTTCAATTACGTGTTAAATTAAAACACGGCAAAATGTAGGGAAATGTAAGGGTTTTTTGCAGTAAAGAGTTTTGAGTTTATAGTATTTATTCTTATTATTATTTTCCCAATAATCACCAAATCAACATTCACCTTGTCATTGAACAATTCTTCAGACAAATTGCCCTTGCATACGAAAAGGTTCGCCATCCCTGAGCTAGCCTGTCGATCCTTCACGACTCGGTGAAAGTGCTCATAGTTAATCCCCCGATACGCCGTTAATATCTTACGTCACTACCGAGAACCGAAGTGATAGCGAAATACTTAATCAACTGTGTTCGAATACTGAGCTAAACGTGAAATGTGTTGTTGAAATTGCACCGTCTAACTGTGGCCACAATTCCAACACGTACAAAGAAATTTGGTGACTCATTTCTTTGTCGCACTATCCGTAAATGAAATGCTCTGCCTGCTCACGTGTTCCCTCCTTCTTACAAACTGGGATCGTTTAAAAGAGGCGTGAAGAAGCAACATGCAGGCCGGCAGGGTGAGGATAGCTGGTGCGGCAGGTAGTACTGCTGTATCAACTATCTTCGCGTCTGGATTTCACCGCCATTTAACATCAGGTGGGGTTGAGTCATTTGTCGGACCTATATATATTTAAAAAATGAAAAAATTGCTCAAGCGTATTAGTTTACAGAACATTGTTTAAGAGAGACAGGTAATACACAGCTAATAAACAGGTCTCATTGAAGAACTCGTCTGGGGAATCAACCTCTATCGTAGGCTTCACTACAGGTTGTGAGGAAAACGCTCCCGAAAAAAAAAGACAGGATGTAGAGTTACCGATATAAATAAAAAAAAATACAATTACTATTAAAAAAAAACGCTTTATTTATATCACCATGTTGTAAGGTTAATTTTCTACAACAGCTTCATCAATGATAGTAATTATTTATTATGTTTCTAACAACACGCAATGTTATTGATATTCGAAAGCGAACTGAGGTTCCGCACTTAACAGCTGAAGAGGGTATTCGCAGGGCTTTTTAGCGTTTATCATGCTGGACGCGCTCGTAAGCCGCACGGGTTGCTTTAAGAGGTTCTCCGTTATCCGCCCGTAGGACTTGGGAGATACTAGATGCATGAGCGGATGTGCCAACGTTAACAAAAAAAAACTTCATATATATATATATACGAGCGGCTCGCAGCCGACGGCATCACAAACGCAGCTATCGCCACCTTTCGGCGGTAGTCGTCGCCTTCTGCCGTCAACGTGACGTCGACCGCTGCCGACGAGCCATAAGCCGCCTGGGTCAATTGCAGCCGTCGCCACATCGAAGGTTGGTCGACGCAACGAAATAACACTTGAAGTTACTCACAGAAAGTAGTGAGATTCCAGGCTTGCACTGGGTTCAGGCCGGTAAATTGAGGATGTCTAGAGGTTTTCTGGGTTGGGTAGTAGATGAGATCAAAGAAAGCAATGCGTATGTGATATGTACTCTGCTTATTCAAGCATCTATAGGTTATGACGGGCAATTACCATCAATCGGGCCATGTTCTAGACCTACATTTGCATATTAGACTGGCTGCTAGATGACCATGCATGAGCTAACGGCCTGTCGCAAATATAGTCAAAAAGACAAAAGATCTTTATTCATATTGGATGCACAATGCAACTCTTTTGAATCGTCCATATATTTTTCCCTACCACTAGTTAAGGATATTTCTTTAGCTGTGGAGAAAAACTGGCGAATCAGACTTCACAGCGTTAAATAATTATGTAACAATATTTACAAAATATTATATCTATTGTTTCTGAACAACATCTTAGACCCAACAAATGTGAAATGTAATATCGTTAAGGTATGACGATGCGAGCAACAGTTTTAACTCTTAAGCTGTAGGAAGGCCTAAGGGGAAGATCTTCCTCCGAGCTGGATGATGGTAGCTCAGGGGCCGCGGCCCGACTGATGTTGGTCGGGCATCGTATATGTGGAGTGTTAGCCTCCGAATTTTACTTGCGCGATTTAGGCTTCCAACGCCGGTACCGCCATCTCTTGAGGAGGCGAGTGACTATTCCCTCCATATTGATTAAATGTGGGGCATGTAGATATCGCCGCCTCAAAGCTATCCCTTCGATTCTCTGACAGCATTGCAAGGGATAGATGGTGTGAAATTTTGTAAGAATGATTCTTGGCTTACCTCCATTGTAGCGGGCAGCACGGCGCGTACACGACGCCACGCGCCCTTTTTCTCATTCTGAAACAAAACAACACAACTTTAAACCAAAGTTCATAATATCAGAGTTTCCCACCCCAAAGTTATCGCTACATTTAGTCGTGAGCCCGTATCTGGGTGCACGAAAGATGACTTCAATTCGGGCACCCGAAGCAAAATTTACACTAGAATACGGTTAGTCGTTTATTCGAAATCCATTGGCACTCGTATTTCGGCTAACGAAGAAGTGCAATTGCCCCATTAGGTACTGTAACGAAGTCAGACAGAATTTTCTGAAAATGAAGATAGTCATGAGAAGCTCCTCAATTGGATAGTGCGTCCGCCCTGATAGCTGAAGATACGAGTTCGAATCCCGTCTAAAACCTGACCCGAGTGGAATTTTTCTAGTAAAATTTTCTTGATATTTAAACATCTAGCAGTTAAATGCTGGTGGTTGAAGCGGCACACTTTTCTGCAGCATCGGCTATCTTCGCGAATTGACTTGACTAAGGTCAGTGATTTGTTATTTGGGTCCCCCCAAATATCAAATCACTGACCCTTATAACATACACCCTTATGACACTTATAACATATCTATCTACTCGCCGTGTCCCAGGTATGGTAAGCCGAGAGAAGGCAAGTAATTATTATAAATTCTTTATATATTGTCATCATCATCAGACTTATAATGACCTTTTTTGTATTTCTGGACAACACCTCCCTAAACCGCCGGGAGTTGCGCAAACAGGTTCAGATACAGTTACAGTCTTCCTATTCTACAGAGTTCTTCCAACTCAGTAAAACCACAAAATACTCCTGCACTTTCACCTGACACATATCCCGAGAGCACTGGCATAATCAGCGCGGATAGCTAGGCGATTTCTGTAGAGCTGGGATCATCAGGTAGAAGTACCTTGAGAGCTCATGGTTAATTGGTTCACCCATCCTATAACCGACTACTACGAAAGTTGCTTAGCTTCCACTATTGCAGACCGAACGCGTTATGTCTAACTACGCATTCGAGCTCCTTTATACACGCTACAGTTTAAATAAAAATGTTTCAAATGCACGAAGCGAGCTAGCGAACGGTCTCAGTAATCTCTCGGCATGGCAAAGATGCGCTGCAGTAGGTGAAGGTCGTATCAAAATGGCGGCGGTTGCGCCGGCGCAGGCGTACGTGCGGTCACGCCCTGTTCGATTTAACCGGTGTTTTAGTCATTCGAAAGCTTGCAAGCTTATCATCTTCTTCTTTAAGTATATATAAAAGGCAAACCGGTACTGACTGACTAAACTATCAACGCACGAAAATTGACACACAGGATTTTCCAAAACTCACCCCTTAAAGGGATAAAATTGGGGATTAAAGTTTGTATGGGAAACTTATATTGTCTGAACTTGTCGTTCCCTCTCACCGCTCTGATATCATCAAAACTATACATTTCTGGAATGAACTCCCGTTAGCCATTAAAATGTCCACCAGCAAATATAGCTTTAAAACCAGGCTGCGAAGCTTTTTATGGAACCGATAATTTCGTTTAGTAGTTAATCGTCATTTTTATGTATAAAATTTATTTAGTGAAGTGTATTTACGTGTAGGTATATGTTTACATATGTCTATGTATGTATATCTTATATATAAAATTCTCGTGTCACAATGTCAGTTACCATACTCCTCCGAAACGGCTCAACCGATTTTCGTGAAATTTTATCCATAACCATACCATAACCATCTGAATATGCATGGTTTTAAAATCGGACAACATCTATTTTTCATCCCCTAAATGTTAAGGGTTGTCCACCCTTAATTTTTTTTCGGACATTTTTTTTGTTTACATCATACAAAAATACATACAACCCTAAATTTTCACGAAAGATGACTTCAATTCGGGCACCCGAAGCAAAATTTACACTAGAATACGGTTAGTCGTTTATTCGAAATCCATTGGCACTCGTATTTCGGCTAACGAAGAAGTGCAATTGCCCCATTAGGTACTGTAACGAAGTCAGACAGAATTTTCTGAAAATGAAGATAGTCATGAGAAGCTCCTCAATTGGATAGTGCGTCCGCCCTGATAGCTGAAGATACGAGTTCGAATCCCGTCTAAAACCTGACCCGAGTGGAATTTTTCTAGTAAAATTTTCTTGATATTTAAACATCTAGCAGTTAAATGCTGGTGGTTGAAGCGGCACACTTTTCTGCAGCATCGGCTATCTTCGCGAATTGACTTGACTAAGGTCAGTGATTTGTTATTTGGGTCCCCCCAAATATCAAATCACTGACCCTTATAACATACACCCTTATGACACTTATAACATATCTATCTACTCGCCGTGTCCCAGGTATGGTAAGCCGAGAGAAGGCAAGTAATTATTATAAATTCTTTATATATTGTCATCATCATCAGACTTATAATGACCTTTTTTGTATTTCTGGACAACACCTCCCTAAACCACCGGGAGTTGCGCAAACAGGTTCAGATACAGTTACAGTCTTCCTATTCTACAGAGTTCTTCCAACTCAGTAAAACCACAAAATACTCCTGCACTTTCACCTGACACATATCCCGAGAGCACTGGCATAATCAGCGCGGATAGCTAGGCGATTTCTGTAGAGCTGGGATCATCAGGTAGAAGTACCTTGAGAGCTCATGGTTAATTGGTTCACCCATCCTATAACCGACTACTACGAAAGTTGCTTAGCTTCCACTATTGCAGACCGAACGCGTTATGTCTAACTACGCATTCGAGCTCCTTTATACACGCTACAGTTTAAATAAAAATGTTTCAAATGCACGAAGCGAGCTAGCGAACGGTCTCAGTAATCTCTCGGCATGGCAAAGATGCGCTGCAGTAGGTGAAGGTCGTATCAAAATGGCGGCGGTTGCGCCGGCGCAGGCGTACGTGCGGTCACGCCCTGTTCGATTTAACCGGTGTTTTAGTCATTCGAAAGCTTGCAAGCTTATCATCTTCTTCTTTAAGTATATATAAAAGGCAAACCGGTACTGACTGACTAAACTATCAACGCACGAAAATTGACACACAGGATTTTCCAAAACTCACCCCTTAAAGGGATAAAATTGGGGATTAAAGTTTGTATGGGAAACTTATATTGTCTGAACTTGTCGTTCCCTCTCACCGCTCTGATATCATCAAAACTATACATTTCTGGAATGAACTCCCGTTAGCCATTAAAATGTCCACCAGCAAATATAGCTTTAAAACCAGGCTGCGAAGCTTTTTATGGAACCGATAATTTCGTTTAGTAGTTAATCGTCATTTTTATGTATAAAATTTATTTAGTGAAGTGTATTTACGTGTAGGTATATGTTTACATATGTCTATGTATGTATATCTTATATATAAAATTCTCGTGTCACAATGTCAGTTACCATACTCCTCCGAAACGGCTCAACCGATTTTCGTGAAATTTTATCCATAACCATACCATAACCATCTGAATATGCATGGTTTTAAAATCGGACAACATCTATTTTTCATCCCCTAAATGTTAAGGGTTGTCCACCCTTAATTTTTTTTCGGACATTTTTTTTGTTTACATCATACAAAAATACATACAACCCTAAATTTTCACGCTTCTACCACCAAACCCTATTTTTTTATTGCGGTACGAAGTTCGCTGGGACAGCTAGTATATATATATATACGTCATTGGTGTAATTAAATGAATATAATTATAATATTTATATTTACTGCTTTAAATGTGATTTTCACCTCAGTTGTGCACCCTACCACTAATTTTCTCCACAAAAACCCTATAGTTCACTGGTAGAGAATGCCTACGGCATTAAGTCCGCCCTTCTACAATTATGCATGAAGAATTAAATAAATATATATTATACTAGCTGGCTCGGCGAACTTCGTACCGCCCAAAAGTAAAAATTTGCAATAAAATAATATTGCGACTATACATTGAGATGTAAGCTAGCCTATCTTTCAAGTTGGATCAAACTGCACACGGTACAAACTCGTCGGGAAGAGCTGCGTACGCATCCCACACACACACGAATATAATTATAGTCTCGTGATGTAACGAATATTCGTATTCTCGAATATTCGCATATTTTTTAACATTCGCATTCTCAAAATCTCAGCGATTGATTTGCGAATATGAATATTAGAAAAAAACTATTTGAAGGAGTTGTAATGCTTTCTTTCCTTGAATATTCATTGTTACACAGCTTGCATTTAGCTCGTTCAACATCGCAAAGTGTGAAATAAATCCATATTTCACTAGAATTTGATTTACTCATGTTAATAAATCACTATTCAAACCCTAACCTCAAAACCGGCGCGAGCGGAATGACACTTCAGTCGGATGAGTTCATATCAACTCGGCAATTCGAACGAGACTGCCACCATACCAATAGACAATTGGCTCCAATTTTGAACAAAATCTAAATGTTCGCATTCGCGTTCGCGAATGTCGTTACCAGATATTCGCATCCGAATTCGCATTCGCGAATGTTCAAAAAATGACACTCGTTACATCACTAATATAGTCATGTGACGGTCTTGACGCATCTCTGTTTCATCTTTTCCATAGGGTTTTTCCATTCACGACCGAATAGTATTTTCACTTCAAAAAACTTCCGATTCTTTCAGGATACACTACAAGCAGCCATCCTTGTTCGTCTCACGCAATCTGAACGAGAAGTGAACAGGACGGGACACACACAAAACTGGATCGTGGGAACTTAGCATTTTGCTTTCACTGCACCGCATGTTTGGAGCATCTGGGGGGGCTACTGTGTACGCGCGTAAAGGCGAAGATTCGCACGAATCTGAACCGTCCAAGGTCGTGTTGTTTCATCTTTAGTAAAACTTGAGTATAGTCAAAATATTACAGAAACAAATAACCTTTTATTGTCCAGAAGCTGTAGTAGGGATAAAATAATACTGGACCGTGTAAAAGCTCTGTTTATAAGCCTATTTGCAATAAAGTTTTATATGAGTTATATGACGACCTCCGTGGCCGAATTGTTTAAATGCCGGGTTTTATGGTGTCGCCGACTCGAGAGGTC